GGAAGATATAAGTGAATTGTGAGTTATCAAGAGGGGGTCCACATTGCTGTAGAGTTAATACTCTATAGAGTTACTACTTCTCTTTCCTTTTCATCTGCATAATAAGGAGTCAGGCTTCAGTTTTTGCTTTCAGTGCTAAATGTCCATGGTATAGAAAGTTAAAGCAGAAAATAAACTCACTGTCATCCAGTTGATTCCAACTTACCAACTCATAGTGACCCTGGATGTGGTGGGTTACGTGTCGGGCTACCACAGGTTAGTAGCTTGAAATCACTGGCTCTTTGGGAGGAAGATGAGGTTTTCTACTCCCATAAAGATTTACAGTCGCAGGAGCCCACAGCAGGGGTAGTTCTACTCTGTTCTATAGGGGCTATGTGAGCTATGAGTTTGGCACAGAAGGGAAATGATAATGTGTTAGTATTCAAGAGTCACTGCAGGTTAAGTTCACTCCTGCACAGCAACAGGTAACCTGCATTGGAGCAATGAGCCGAAATCAGCGGAACCCTGAAGAATCTAGTTTTCTTATTTGCCCCCTCTGGAAAACAGTGACCCATGTTGGAGTTTATTGTTGTTAGTTGTTGTTGTTGTTGTTGTTGTTAGTCATTAAGTAGGCCACAGCTCATAGCTGTTCCATGAGTGGCAGAGGAGAATGTGCCCATAGGGATTTCACTGCTGATTTAGTAGTGTAAATTGCCAAGATTTTCTACTCCGTCATCTCCACTGAAACCTGTTTAGCACCATATCAACATGTATGCCTCCACTGATGGATGGGTGGTGGTTGTGCTAGAAGTGCATGAGCTGAGTCTCTCTCATGGAAGTCCAAAATCCTGCCACTAAATCACCAAGGCCCTCCAACCCTACAAAACAAACCCACTGCCACTGAGTCAATTCCAACTCACAGTAACTGTATAGACAGAACAGAATGGTCCCCTGTGATTTCCGAGACTGTCAATCTTTACAGGAGCAGAAAGCCTGATCATTCTCTTGAGAAGCAGCTGGTGGGTTGGAAGAGCTACCTGGCATTTTGCAGTCCAATGCACAGCCCAATATGTCACCAGGACTTTTTGACAAGGATCTCAGGTGGAGAAAAATGACTAAATAGGACAGTTGAGAAGAAAAAACTCAGTTATATTTCTGCCACGTGTCAGCTGCTTTTCATAAATCTGATTTAATGTTCAGAGCGCTCCTTTGAGATGGAGACTTATCCTCACATTACAGAGGAGCATGTTGTGGTACAGAGCACCCCTGGAGAATCAGCAGGTCTGGTCTGTGAATATAGACCTCTTCTTTCCAGTCTTTTCCGGTGGCTCCAGTAGGCTTCCTGAGGGTGGTGCAGAATCTCCACCTTAGGGTGACTTCTGACACCTTTGCTTTGACTCTTTGCAGAGAAATATGGCCTACTTTCTAGTGAATTTCTTACATTCTAGTGTGAGTTTTAGTTATAGGGAAGCAGTAAAAATAAGACATGAGCTTTAGGTTAAGATCGCAATTTTAAGTCTCAGCCTTCATGAACTTTGCCTCCTTGGGCACTTACTTAACCTCTCTGAAATGTAGGTCCTTCGTATCTCGCTAGATAGAATCGTTACACCTAGAATTCTGGATGACTGAGGCTAAAACCAGATACTCTAAGCAAGGGCCTTGCACACAGGAGAAGCATACTTAATGATGAGTCTGGTGGGATAGGTGGCTGAGCTGCAGTGTGTTTTAGGTCAGTGGATCTGAATTCTGGCCCATTGATCCATGTGGTTTTTAGGACAGCTTCCTCGGGAAAGGAGAGAAATAAAAAAGGATGAGTGGATAGTTATGGCAAATGACATGATTGTCCTCAGGCAGGGAAAGTCAAGGTATAGTTCCGGGGTGCAAGTAGGATTTAGAGTGAATGCCTGAAGTCCAGCTGTAAATGGAGTGGTGGTGGTGGTGGAGGGGAGTGTGGGGGACAACTGCAAGCCCACCCAACTGATTCTATGTGTGGCACTAACAAGAGGATTGAATTCACCTCCAGAGTCTTCTCAAGCAAGTGAAGGCTGTGAGATGTGAGATGGCTGAGATGGAATCCATCTTACATCCCAAATAGAGGCCCTTGGCAGTTCTGGACACAGGGCTCTAGCCCACCTGAGATAGCGGCCTCTCAGGGGAATGGAGGGCCAATTGAGGAAGGAACCAAACCCTGGGGTACGCAGGCCCTAAGTTTTTCCTGTGCTCCCTCTGAATCTCAGCTTCATGAGTTCTGGGTGACTATGCAAGGCCTTGACCATGGGATTAGTGCTTATGTCTGTTCAACTCAGAGTTTGGCCCAGCAGAGAACAGAGAGGTCCCAGATAAGTCGCTCCACTTTTCATGGTCAAGGGCACGAGGAACAACTGGACTTTCACATCTTAGGGAGAATGCCACTCACAGTTCATTGGTTCTTCGGATCCTCTTCCTACCAGATTCCCAAGCATTCTAATTTCCACACAAGTTCCCCGAAGCTCACTAAAGTAAGCTCAAAATTAAAAAAAATACATTTTGCACAAGTGGCACTCAGGTTTCCACCAAGGACCAACATCTGCTGTCCTTGAGCTCCCACCACAGACCAATTCTCCTCCCTCTTGCCATCGGTGACACAGTATTATTCACATTAACAGTAGTCCCACGAGCACCACCCCAGGGAATGTTTCAGAAATATACTTATGATTTACATTGGGGTGACATGTGCTCCACACACTGTGTTTTGGGTCTTCATTCATGTGTCTTTACTTATCTCTCTTACTTTCCATCTCATATCAGACAGCTCCTTCTATCCAAATAGAAAATACGGTGAGGTCTTGAGTGTGTTGTAGCTGACTACATAAAAAGTAAGATTTTTGTTTGCTTGGGATTGGTAAAACGTAGCTTGAACTTTCCAGTGGAAAGCAAATGATGACCCATCCCAACCGTCTTATATGTTGTAGAGAGAGGAGAGAGTGCAGGATGCCTCTCAGAACACTCCCAGGGTCCTTGGGCTTCTCTCTCGTAGCCTTGGACAGGTGGTGTAATCTCCTAAAAGTAAGCAAGGAAGATGCCCAAGCTTGGATCTGTTAGAAGGTCTTAGTTACTGAGATCTGGCACAGGCTAGAGGAATAACACTATTTCAAGACGTGGGGCTTTCCCTCTTGTGTCAGGGTCTCCATGGCTTCCATAAGAACAGGGGCAAAGAAGCACAAAAGCAGTTTCCATGTCATTGAAAATATCCTGGCATAGAGTCCCCTAAGGATGCACACCTTTTCTGTCTCTTTCCTTCCCAGTCATCACTCCGTTCCCCCTGGGTTTCCAGGAAATATAAGTGCTTCCACTTTTGGAGACAGTATTTCTTCACTTTCCATCTTCTTCCCCAACAAGCAAGTTACTGTCATCCAACAGAGGGTCTCATCTACACAGACCTAGGAACAGATGTTCTTGGACTTGGGTTATCCAGAGGTGACTATTTATAAACCACCCTGATAAGCACAGTCTGCTGGTCTACCCTGCCACACTGTGTGTCTGGCATCTCTATCAGTAAGTCTCCCTTCACGGAGCCCCAACGGCAAACTGCATGCTTCCTGTACCTGGTAGACTTAGAGAGCTGGCCCGGCCCCGGGCCAGCTCAGAGGTGATGTTAGCAAATAGAACAGCCACTTTTCCCCCTTCTCATAGGTGCTCCTGCACAGCAAAGTCAGCAAACTTTTTCTGCTAAAGGCCATGTTTTAAATATTTTTGTTTATGCAGGACATATGGTCTTTGTCACTACTGCTGGACCCCGTGGTTCTAATGTGAGAACAGTGATCGATAATATGTGTGGCTGTGTGCCACTAAAACAACTTACGAAAACAAGTGTCCAATCCACAGGTCCTCATTTGTCAACCACTGTTGCAAGGGGACCTCATTTAACAGGCGCACTTGTTTAATCTCCTTCCAGAAGTTCTATAATTATGGGATGGGTTTAACGTCTCACATAATAACTGTTCTCAAGCTTATCTACATCCCCCACATGCTTCATACTTTTCCTCATGTCAAGAAAGAAGCGAGAAACTGGTGTAGGGCCAGACTTGTTTTCAGATTTTGTGGGACGCTATTTTCAAAAAATCAAATTTCCTTCTTTTATAGGCATTTTAAGATACACAGTGTTTGGCTTAATACTGGGGAAAAAGATGGCCAATTTCTTCCAACCCCCAAACCTGTGGTTAGGCGATTGCCATCACCGCCCTCCACCCCTCTGCCCCGCCCCGCCCTCTCTCCGCCAGCACAGTAACCAGGTCACAAACACAGGCATGTGCCCACATGGTCATGTGGGAGGGGAATGTCTGCACTCAGGATACACAAGGGCAAAGTCACCGTGTGTGTGTGTGTGTGTGTATACTATGTACTAGAACGGCGTACCCTTCTCAGTACACATGCCCTTTCCTCCCCATCAAATCTGCAGTAGCACACACAACACATGCATATTGCACCCACTACCTGCTCACACTGCCGCCTGCCTCATGCCCCTGCCTGGGAGCGGGCACATAGAAGCCTAAGTATCCAGACAGGGACTGCCTGTCTGAAATAAGTGGTATATCTCTGGCCACGTTAAGGATCCAAACAAGCACCTGCACTCCCTACCTTGCACTGTCTGCATGGCTGCGTTGCTCTCCAGGCCCTCCCGGGAGCAGGGACACCCGACTCTTCGGCAGCTGGCCCTGCCCGGCACTCAAACTTCTTCTCTCCTTCGCTGTGCTGCCCAAAGAGGAAAGGAGAATGGAGTCAAGTCCTGAGCCATATATTCTTCAAAACCTGCCCCCTGAGGAAGTTAAATACCCAGAAGTGGCAGGACCCTGAAAGTCGAGGCAGCACACCCAAACAGAGACCCAGCCCAGGGGGCCAAGTGGTGATCTTGGTGGGACGAGGCAAACAGTCCGTACTGCAACACCCGTGTGGTGTCGAGTAACAGTCAGATTAAACAAACAGCCCCAGTAGCTATTTTTACCTCCGGATTGGCTGGGGTAATAGATAACTTGGGGAGTGAGAAATTGCTGGCTGCTGACTGAGGCCCTAACCACTATTCCACCTTCCATCCAGAACCATTTCTAAAGCCACTCTAGCATCCCAGTTTAAGTAAACACATCTCTGGGCACACATGAAAGTAATTGTTTAAGGAGACATTAAAAATATAGGCAGGTGTGCCTGGGAGCCAGCGGCTGATCTGCTGATGTCCAAGGCAGAAATAGCTCATTTCATCACTGGCTCTGGATGGTCACAGCCTGCATTCTTCAAGTAAGAAGCCCATCCTTCTGGCGTGAAATAACACGCTCAGCTGCAGGCTTGGGGGAGGCCCGGCTGGGACTTCAAGGTAAGGATGACAGGAAGCTCTGAAATAATCAGGGGGAGAAAGAGGCAGTACAAATATGCTTTGGAAGGTGGCATGGCAGCTGGCTGACTCCGAACCCTAGAGGCGCTCTTATTCCAGATAGGGGTCAAATCTGGGAGGGCCCTGGGAGGGGCTTCACACATGCCCAACCAGGGACCTTGCTTTCTTGCATGTAGTTAATTGCTCTTCAATTTTTGTGAAGATCTCCAGACCACTTCCAAATGCCAAATCTTTGCTTATGGGAGGGCTTTTCTAGACACCCACCGTAGCAACCCCTACACCATTCCCAAGTGGCTAGGGATTAGATCAAGTCTTTTTAATTTTTTTACAACCGTCCTTCCATTCTAGCCTGGGAAAGCTGTAGTGACCCGCTTGAAGATGTCTGCCTCACACTGCATCTGCATTCTTAAGGAGCGTTGCACCCTCCAACCTGTGGCCTTCTCAAGGGCCCTCTCTCCAGGTCCCACCTCCAATCTTGAACCTTTTGATTGCCAGGACCACAAGGACCTGGAATTGTGCACTATAGTTCAACCTGAGTCAAAAAATGGTCTCACCAGGCAGCAGATCATAATCAGGAGGCACTTTGGGAAGAAGGTCCCAGATCCTCCACGTCCCAGGAGCTTTCCAACGTGCTTCATGCCCTGTAGGATTCCTGTTCACTCCTCAGTGCTCTGAGATGATTTGAGGGAGCCCTTAATTTTACTCATCCCCAACCCCCCACCCTTCTACTCAACCCCAATACCTGTCTACTAGGCAAATGAAAAATGTCAACTTTAGATATGAACCAGCCTTTAAACCAGCCTTTAAAATAAGCAAACAAAATATAAATAAATAAATATAACAGAGTGACTATGCTCTGTAAGGTTGTAAAGATGAAATCCTTTCATTGACATAAATATGCTAGTATATTTTCAACCTTCCTAAATGCCAGTCATTTATTTGCTATTTTTATGATTTTTTTCAGTCATGTATATGATCAGCTAGTTACTAGTTTTCTTTAAGATGTACACACATTTTGGATTTGGGGCTCGCACTTAATGATAGCTCCAATCTAAGAACAATTAATTATTATAACATATCCCTGCTCAATACTTGCTCTCATGAAGAGATCAATGAAGATATGAGTGCTAGTGTAAAGTGTGGTGAAGAAACCAGATTGTGCCCAGCTATCAGAAAGAATAATGTCTTCAGCGATTGCTGAAGACAACTGGTACACAACTGGTGAAGAAAGCTGATGGTGTCTGGCTATAAAAAGATACAGCATCTGGGGTCTTAAAGGCCTGAAGACAAACAAGCGACCATCTAACTGAGAAGGAACAAAGCCCACATGGAAGAAGCACACCAGCCTGTGAGATCACGAGGCATTGAAGGGATCAGGTATCAGGCATCAAAGACACCGCCCCCCCCCCCGAAAAAATCATAGTATTATGAATGAGGGGGAGTGCAGAGTGGGGACCCAGACCCATCTGTGGGCAATTGGATATCCCCTTGCAGAAGGGCCGTGGGGAGGAGATGAGCCAGTCAGGGTACAGTGTATCAATGATGAAACATACAATTTTCCTCTAGTTCTTGAATGCTTCCTCCCCACCACTATCATGATCCCAATCCTACCTTAAAAATCCCGCTGGACCAGAAGATGTACACTGGTACAGATCGGAACTGGAAATACAGGGAATCCAGGACAGATGAACCCCTCAGAACCAGTGGTGAGAGTGGCGATACCAGGAAGGTGGAGGGAAGGTGAGGGAGAAAAGGGGAACAGATTACAATGATCTACATATAACTTCCTCCCTGGGGAATGGACAGCGGAGAAGTGGGTGAAGGGAGACATTAGATGGTGTAAGATATGGCAAAATAATAATAATTTATAAATTATCAAGGGTTCATGGGGAAGGGGAGAAGGGGAGGGAGTGGAGGGCTCATGGAGGAGGGGGGAGTGGGGAGGGAGGGGAAAAATGAGGAGCTGATACCAGGGGCTCAAGTAGAAAGCAAATGTCTTGAGAATGATGAGGGAAACAAATGTACAAAAGTGCTTGACACAATGGATGTATGTATGGATTGTGATAAGAGTTGTATGAGCCCCCAATAAAATAATTTAAAAAATTAAAGTTACAAAGCTAAAAAAAACAGAATAGTGTCTGAGATCTTAAAAGGTTTTTCTTAAAACAAGCAGCCCAAGTGATGTGTCAGCTAAGTCCACATGGAGGAAACACACCATCCTGTGTGATACAAGAATTGTAAATAATAAAATCCAAATCCAAAGGAGGAAATGGTGTAAGAGCTTAAATTATGAGCACCTGGTTTGCAGAATGCTATAAATGACAATGGAAGCCCCATATCATTACAGGATCTCCACGTGTATTAAGCTTCCAGTGAATCCCCTCTGACCATAGTCAAGGGATGTGAATAGCCTTGCTGACAGACTGAGAGCATTGTAAACTTGATTATGATAAATATAGGTAGGTTAAAATGTAATACCTTATCATTTTATCTCCCTTTTGACCCATTTTAAAGTTGTTTCAGTTTTAAATATTTTCTGCTTTCTTTTCATTTGAGGGTTTGCACGTTTTGTCTAGTTATTGGTATTGGTTTTTGTTTGCTTGCATGCTTCCTGTTTGTATTTTATATGACTTTCTGTATATGAAATTCAGGAAAGGTAGATCTACAGAGACAATAATTGGATTGATAATTGCCTAGTGGTAGAGGAGAATGGAGATTGAACAACAATGAGTAGAAGAAAATGTTCTGAAATTTATTGTGGTGATGATTGCACAAATGTAAATATGACCTATTGATGAAATGATATGATATGCAAAGTATATGCCACTAAAACGAAAAAGTATTCAAAAGTTGATAACTTTAAAAAATAGAGATTTGTGATAAACAACAATATCTATAAATGTATGGCTTTGATGTTCTACTTTTTTCCTAATACACATTGTAACAAAGATTCAAAACAATAAATGAGTTGTTGTTCAGCTGACTTTACCTCACGGTGACCCCATGTCAGAGTGGAACTGTGCTCCTAGGGGAGACTGTACTGGAGCAGGTCCCTCTTAGAGCTTGCCCGGGGATCTTTTCACAGGCTAGATCACAGCTGGTCATATTTCCCCCAGAAAATGGCTCTGATCTATGTTGCACCAGCGACTGAACATCTGCACTGATCCCCGTGACTGTATAACACAGTCTCCTTCCAGCACAAGGAACATGCTCCAGATCAACAACTTGGGGCCTTCATGGGCTGGAGTTGGCACCCTTCCAGGACCTGGCCCAAGCAAAGTGGCTACTCTGTCTAGAAGCTCTGAGTTGTATGGAAAGAATGTGAATGAAGACAATTCTAAATGTAGACTCATGTATGCTTAGTGAGCCAACAGGCTCCCTCATCAACCAGAAAAACTTGTACATTCTGCAAGAGATAAATAAAGCTGTCCTCAGACTCTAAGGTGCTTTGGGGTCACCATCTCTCAGTGATCTCATTGGCCAAATTTGCAGCAGACCCTGCAGAACACTGAGAAAGGTCAGGTTGATGTCCAGCTGTACAGGTGAAATTGCCTGGGGGTGCCTTTGGCATGCACACTGATGGCTAACTCAGTCTGGCAGCAAATATCATAGACTGTGCACCTGTATAAATGGAAAAATAAAATTGTTGTCATTTAGTTGACTCAGTTCATGGCAACTCATTGTGTGATAGGGTGGAACTGTGTGACACGAGGTTATTAACGGCAGCTTTTTTGGCTTGTTTTTTGGAAGTAGATTGCCAGACATTTCTTTCAAGATACCTCTGCATGGACTTGAACTTCCAATGTTTTAGTTCACAGATGAATGGATTAGCCATGTTCACTGCCCATGATATGCTCAGACATATCATAAGGGTAATATAACATGGGTACTTAAGGCCAATTTCAGTTCTTGGTATTTTAAAGCTTAAGTCCCTTTAAAGGACATGGGTAAATTATTTGACTTTCGGGACATAGTTCCATGTGACTTTTTGTCAGGAAGTTTCAGAGAAACTTTTTCAAAAGTACTTAGCTTTCTTAAGAGTATTTTCCATCTACATCTCCAGGTAGAGGCCTTCTTGCTCTGCTTTAAGCATATTATTTAAGCCTGCCTCCGGGCCTTTGCATGTGTTGTGTCCCTCTACCCTGAACTTAGTTAACATGATTGCCTCTTTCTCTCCACAGAGCCCTAGTGGCATTGTTTGGTGAGCATTGATTGGACTGCTGTTCACAAGGTTCAAAACCACCAGCGTCTGTCTGAGAGAAAGATGAGGGTCTTTGCTCCTGTAAAGATTTACAGCCTCAGGAACTCTATATAAGGTTGTTCCTAGTAGTAATGAACTCCACGGCAGTGAGACTCCTCATTATTCAAG